TTTTTCCCCCTACTTTTTCTGATTCTCCTTGGGCATTTCATTCATCCCCTTTAATTGGCATCTCTAAACCACTCGAAGCACACTTTTGTCTTTAACCCAGATAGACGTAAGTTTCTCCACGGATGCTCCATGGTAACTGAAGCTCATTATATCCCAAACAGAATTCATTCTATCCTCAGAACTCTTTCCTTCTCTGCAGTTCAATTGCTGTCTCTCTTTTCCCTTATTATTTATCTAAGTCAAGGATCAGCAGATTTTTTCTATAAAGGCCAGAGAGTAAATATTTTAGCCTTTGTGGGCCGTAGGGTTTCTGCTACAACTACCCAACTGTGCTGTTGTCGTGAAAGGCAACTATAGTCCATATGTAAACAAATGGGTGTGACTGTGTTCCAATAAAACTTTACTTACAAATACAGGCCAGCAGGCTGGATTTGACCCTGAGCCATAGTGTGCTGATCTCTGATCTAAGTTCATGATCATTCCAGCCAGAAACCTCTAAACTGAGCTTTATTTCCACATCAACCTGGTCAGTGTGTCTGGATGACTATCTTTTCAAGAGACCAGACCTGTTTCTACCATCCCCACACATTTCCTGTCTCAGACCCTCAGCTTTTTGACCTGTCAGTTGCAGGAGCTGTTTATCCAGTCTCACTGCTTTCTGCCTTGTAGTCCTCTGATCCTGCTCCACACTGCTTCCAAAGTAATCTTACAAACACCGAACTCATTTTGTTATTCCTTGTTTAAAATACTCAGGGCTTTGCAAATATCTACACTCTAGGACTTCCCCAAGTTTAGGTCCATAAGAGCTATTTGAAGTCTTTGTTAAATTAAATACTTCTGGGCCTCACCTCAGAGGTTCTGATTGGAGGAATCCAAGTTGGAGACCAGGAATCTGTGTTGTAAACAAGACATCCCAGATGAGCCTGTGGTGTGCAGTCCTCAGACATTTGAGAAACACTGGTCACGGGGGAGGGCAAGCCCCACTGCGTAGAACACGGCCGCTCCCCGCCCCGGCTTGCCTATCTCTCCAGCCCTACCTCTCATGGCTCTCCCTCAGCCTGCTAGGACTCAGGCCCTTTCCCTGAACTGGCCATGTTGCTTTACCCCTTTTGGTTCTCCCACTTGACATTTAGCCAGCTGTGCCATGGACACTTTGTTTGACAAACTTCCTTTAAGGTCAAGTAACTGACTCTTCCGGTGAGTTTCCCTAAACTTCCCGATTCTTACCATGCATGTATCTATATACCAGTACCTATAACTTGTTAGCTGCCTTGTTTGCTTGTCTCCCTTATTAGACTGTAAATTTCTAAAAGGCAGGGATTATGTCTTCTGCATTTGTGTATGCCTATATGTTAGAGGTTACACTGAAATTATATAGTAAGTACACTAGAAATTTGTTGATTTGATAAAAGAATTAGACTGGGGATATTAATATATATTTTAATAACATTAACCTGAGATAATTAAACTGAGGCTCTGAGATGTTCACTGACTTGTTTGAGGTCACATTGTCAAAACAACCAAGGACATATTTTTCCTTCCTTCCTTCCTTCCTTCCTTCCTTCCTTCCTTCCTTCCTTCCCTTTGGTGATTTTTCCATTACACATGCTGCCTTCTTAACATGATGCACTTATTCCCTGTGCTCACATGAACCTTGAATCCTGGAAGTGTCCAGTGGGATTTACCAATTTGGGTATATTTATTCAGTCTGTTGATTACTTAATGTTGTCATTTCTGAGGATGACTAATGACCGAAAGCAAGTCATTCAGAATCATTGCTCTTATAAAGAGCTTGGCCTCTGCGCTGTTTGGATTTCTGGCCATTTCCATCTTTTGATTTTCTTCTAAGAATCTAAATTATATTTATTCTGCCTACTCTCTATAATAAGTTGTGTATACATTATTATTATTGTAACTTGACAACTGACTGTTCAAGAGAAGGTAGGATCTTGTTGGTGACGGCTTAAAGAGAGTAACACTTACGCTTGCTCTTCCGGTACTTCTCACATAGCCCCTGGAACTCTGAACACCTATATCTCAAATGCTCAGCTGAGATTAGGCAGCTGAAATCCAGCAAAGGTCAGGGATCGCTCAGAAGGGTCTGGAACACTAGGCTGGGTTTAACATCATTGTATGGGAAAAGAGTGAATGCTAATTCTTGGTTATTTTGGTCAGAGAGAAAAAGGGATCATGTGCTAAGAGACACAACACATGAGCCTTGAGGGCAGTGAGTTTGTGGTTACTCAGTACTCATTTCATTTTGCCTTGTATTAAAATTTTGTTATTATTTCTGTCTCCTATCAAATAGGAAACTTGCATTTTATTAATTTCATCCTACTTCACACATAGCAAACACTCAAAAGAAGCTTGTGAAATGAAGCGAGTGATCCCAAAAGCTCATTTCAACCTTTCCCCTTTGACCTGTGGTCCAATAATTATCAACCAGTGAAATGCTCCAAAGGCAGGCAACCAGGGATAGGAAGACAGGAGGGGCCATCACAAACTATCAACCAGATCATCAGCCTTGGAAAATTGAATGTCTTGTGTGTATATCTGGTTATTCACAACAATAAAACACAACAATAATGCAGCCTGGAGACCAGAAATTTAACAACTCTTATCCTTCCATGATCATTGTATGCTTAACATAAATAATGTCTACCCATAACATTTGTATAACCTTTAAACACTTAATCAATTGGTATTTAATAAATTATTGCCTGCGCAGTGAAAAATAAGCTGGTCTTTTTTTTTAAACAATTTAACTTTTTATTGATTTTGTTTACATAATAAGGAATCAGCAACTACAGTAGTTGCCACTTTAAGTGACCACAAGAAGACAAAATACATAACTATTTTACATGTTTATATTACAATTTTATAGAGTTAACTACAGCATACCCATGTTTTGCTACAACCTGAATTCCTTTGGCCATATTGGTTTTAATTATGTCCAGAAATCATATTTGCTTCTTACCAACTTGTATCAGATGTTAACATTTTCAAATCAAACATTTTTAGAAAAGCTACTGAAAGCAATTTCGTTATAAATAGTCCATGTACATACTCTTTGCGTGCGGTTTCAAAATTTGGCAAGATGATTACAGACCACAGTCTGATATGGAAAAGGAAAGGGTATTGGGATGTAAATGAGGAGGAAGAACCAAAACTCAGTACATGGTAATAAAAATGATCTAAAACTTAAGTGGGAATAAAAAATATATTAGTTATCCAAAGTTAATTTAAAATCCAAAGTTTGAAATGTCTTTTGTGTTGACAAGTGTCTGAGAAAGTGATTGGGAAGAAACTAATAAACAAGACCGTGAGTGATCTGTAAATAGAATCCATGTGGCATGTGAATTAATTATTGTCATTCTTTTTGGCCACATCTTGGGGTTTTGGTTTGCTGTATTGTCACATTAGATGCTGGCAGAAAACAACATTGCTAGCTCATTTCCAGCACGTGGCCCAGGGTTACTAAAGGGAAAGAAAAAAAAGTAGAAACTCTGCTATATTTTAAGACAGAGTTAAAGCTCTTGGGCCCAATTTATTCCTGCAGTCACTCTGAGAACATTGCACTGTGTTTTGCTGGAACAGAATCAGGACCTTTTGCATTGATGTGACGGGGCAATGACGAACGTCAGGCTAAGAATGGGAATCCGTCCCTGTGGGTTTCCTCCCACCCCACCTCATTTCCTCTCTCTTCCGTTCTCTCTTGTACATATTTTCACACACATATCATCCCAAGTTAACCTAAGGCGCTTTGCTGGGGAGATGAAAGAATTAGGCAAGAATGCACAAAGAAAGAGGTCCTTACAGTCCCCAAAAGCACTTTTGCCTGTATGTGACAAAAAAGCACCACATCAAAAACTGTTTTTTATTAGTTATTTATAAAAATGATATAAAAATTAGTAATAAGCTTTACAAGTAGTTGTTAAATTGATTAATTTGTGTGATTTCAAAAAACAGTGTTTTAATTATCACATTACACCTACGCCAGAGACCATTTTGACTGCAGCAGGTGGGAGAGGACCCTGCTTTCTCCTGCGCCCTGTGGGCCCTGCTCCAGGCAACTCACGTCCTGTCCCTTAGGTGGTTACTGGCATCTCTCCATTGTAAAGGTACTAAACGCTGGGGCTGGCCCTTTGTTGAATCATCTGCATGTCCTATAATTGTGGCTAAGTACTTGCAGATGACAAAATAAACAAATAGTGTTTCAACTACAGTAGTGAAAGGAGAATATTTTAATAATCTTGAAAAAAATCATAGGTAGCATTTTCTTCGCAGAATACATGAGTAGGAGACTTCAAAGCAGTCTTTTGGGAAAGCATTCCAAACCTTCTCTCTCTTTCCCTTTGTGACATTTGGCCTTATCTGAATGGAGAAAGATTAATGATTTTCAAAAACCTCAGTCTCTCTGATGCTACCTCCTGATCCTTTAATTATGTTTCTAATGTGAAAAAAAAAAAAAAAAAAAGATACACCAGCTAAACTTGCTTTCACATTTTATAGTCCAGCCAGTGGTTTGACACCATGAATTAAGAAAAGGTTCTTTTAAAGGATTTTTTAAAATTTTGAATTGAGCCATTTAAACTTTACTTAAAGATTCCATTTTACAGTGACACAATTTTCCTTTATATCAGATTCACATGAATTTAAAACATAAACCTCTTGAACAGGAATTCAGAGTGAGTTCAACCTAAACCTAAGCGGTGCAGGAATGTACTGGAAGTTATTAAGAGCTACACTGGAGTGCTGGCTGTGTAAAATTAAGTGCTTTCACGAGGAGGCTTTCTTAATTCTCAAGGCTTTTGTTTTCTCAGGCAATAAATAGCTCACAGAGAGTCATGGGTCACTGTGAGTGTTAAGAAAATCATCACTCTTACACTTTTACATTGTTTTGTGCAAGCACACAGTTGTTTTGTTTTGGCAAACGCCTCCTTGTTTTAGTGACTTCTGTCCACAATAAAGAAAATGAAATTAAGTGACTATTCCTTCTCCTAAGATGAGCTGTATTTATTACTGGAGCGGAAGTTGTCATATCCGTGATCATTAGCTTTGAACTTCAGGCATGACTGCTTTTCCTCCAAGGACTGTTTTTCTTCAAATGACTGGCACCAGCAGCATAGGCATGACTGTACAGAGCAAAGTAACTCGTTAGCCGTTCACATCAGTTACTGTCATGACTCTTCCTACTTTCTAGGGTTCTGACTGTCTGGGCACGATCGGGAGTTCTTGGCCACTTCCTTTCCATGCTCTCTTATTTTTCCCTTTAACAGCATATAATTACACAAGTAGTATATGATAGTTTTTTATACTAGAAAATACAGGGAAAGAAATGTATATCACTAAAACTCACCTTTTCATTAAAATTAAAAGGGAAAAGCACTCATTCTTGATATTTACTCTTGCTTACTTGAGAAATTCTCTTAATATTTGATAAATATATAACTCAAGACTTCTTCCTATGCAAGTAGAAATATTACCACACACCATACATATAAACACATGACCGTGTATGTGCATGTGTGCATGAGTGTGTTATCTTAATAAAATTGTACTATATGTACTACTCTGTAGCCTGATTTCTATGTCAGTGAATTTAATGTTGTATTGATGTTTTTGTCAGCCACGTGTTATGCTCGTGTGCCTTTTTAATACCGTCACACAATGAACTTAGAAAGTACATTAATGTCTCGGTTTGATCCATCCAATTTCTTTTCTTGGATTTTTTTTTAAATCCCCAAACTTTGTTCATACTGTTTGCTTTCTGAGGATCTGTATGTATAAGGAACTGGGAGGTCCATTGTTTTCTGTTCTCTAAAAAGAGGGAGTCGATCTTGATGAACGTTCTCTTCTAGCTCTACAATTCATGAGCTTATGAGTGGGCAAAGAACTTAAGACTGATTTAGATGTTTTGAGGAAGCTGAGTTCTTTCCAGTAATGAGCTACCAGGGACAAATGGATCATTCCCATATAAGGGAAGGGAATATGTCATTCATATTAGATTGTCGAAGGAATGAATGAATGGATGGATGTTACAATGCAAGTGGCCAAATGAAGAATAATACACATATTCTACATCAAGTAGCACAACTCTGCTCTACAAGCAAGGTGGCAAAGAGGAGGTAGAACCTGAATTACATGTCTCCATTAGACTTGCTATTCTCATGTCCCATATGAAAAAGATACTAAGTTAGTTATAATCCAAGCCATGCTGCCTTAGTCCAAAACCTACTGAAAATGGGAACAAGGCATTTAACTCATGTTTAGCTCTTATCGTATGACATCTGTCAGACATCAATGCATGTCCTTTTTGTTAATTTTCTGGGCATTTCTCCAAGTACAACTGATTGGTTGAGGCAGAAGGTAGTGGTTGATTAGGATTTATAGGCAGAAATCAAGTAGAGTGAGTTTTGAGCAGAAGTCATATTTTAAAAAATTATCTGTGATGTAACGCAAGGGAATACTGTAAAATAATTGACTAAATCTCTTTAGATATAAATCTGAATCGTTTGGAAAGGTTATATTTGATGCCAGGCTAAAAAAGAGCTTTTTTATTTTGAAATACTCTCACCTTAAAGCAGTTTTTGAATCTTTTGCTCACCAAATACAGAGCTATAGGATTAATGCAGGAATTCAGGGAGGCCATGTTGATGCCAATGTAGTCCAACACCAACAAAAAGCTGTAAGAAACATTCCAAAACATGTCTTTGTTGCTTTAAGCCTATATTCCTTGCAAACTCTTGAGCTTTGGGGGAAAAACATCACTCATATACAATAGTTTGACTTTATCACTGGTCTTTGTTCATAATGATCTCTCTCTCTCTCTCTCTGTCTCTCTCTGTCATCATGCCCCTCCCTCCCATGCCCAATTCTCTCTTTGACAATAAAATCTCATTCGGAAGTGCTGAGGCTGGCTGAGAAGGCTTTGCAAAGTGCCAAGGAGAATCGGAGCTTATATTTTCAATAGTGCCACCCACTCAACATTTCGATCATTTTATGATCGAATGGAGAGAGCTCTGCCTCTCGATTCTCAGTGTTCTTATTAGTCTGCTTTATTCCTTCCTCTACAACAGGAGTGAAGGGGGAAAAGTGAGAATCGTAACTGCTCCCTAAAGACTAGCAAAATGGTACTCTGTCTCTGCAAGGGACCAGTGGAAAAAAACTTCTGAATGGCGTTTACCTACAAAAATCGGTCTAGTTTACTTTTCTTACCTCAAAAGTTCACATCTATTAGGATCATTCTGATCGTAAAGAGTGAGCTTCAAAATCCTGCTGAGGTGAAGGGGAAGCCAGCACAGGGCAAAGACGAGGACCAGGCAAAAGACCGTTTTGGCCACTTCCCGTCTCTGTAATAAAACCATAGTCAGGGACTAAATAGAGGATTCAGATAATCACAGTGTCCCCACTTCCCAAACAGAATATTTAATATTGTTTACAAAAAGCCAGTGGCATTTGTACAAATTCAGAACATCAAGCCTTAAGTCGAATAGTTGATGTGAATTAGAAGTAAAGTGACTAGAGATTCACCTTAAAAAGGTAATGGATCTTTCTAGATCTTTTTAGATTACGTAGAACAGAATTATCTCTCGATAGATAATATAAAAAATATTCTTTGTATTTTCAAAAATACTGGAAGCAAGAGAAAGGAAGTATGGGCTAGTGTATAATAATTTTAATTTGTTGTCATTGTAATAATTTTCTTATTCATAATTATAATCGTGAGTCAGCACGTATTTCTATTTTCTTACCTGCTTTAAGTGGTCATTTAAAGCAATCTGCATGCCACTCTTCTTTCTCAACATTTCACAGGTCATCAGCGTATAAAAAAATGCAGTGATGGCCAATGGCAAGCAGAAATAGAAACTAAATAGCCACCAATCTTTAGCTGTCTTGTAAAACTATGGAGAAGAGAAAATTCTATGAGTTAACATTCCTCTGTAAAAAACATCTTCTACACCACACGTTAAGTTAAAAAAAACAACAACATACTCATCTACTTCTAAAGTAGATACATTTCCTAAACACTATATAGAATATTTCAGGCCACATCTACTGAACAAATAACTAAATACTTATACTAAGTATAACAAACATTCCTTAAAGGGCATTTCAATTCTCTAAGGCAGTGTGCTGTAATTATGCTCAAGAATTTAGGCAGTTGGGCAAAATTAAAAATATTTGGTAATTCAAATATTTTTACCTTCACATAAGCAAATTATCCTTAAGCAAAAACATTCTTAAGGTACTCTTCTTGTGAAATACCACATCTGAATATGTGAAGACATTCTAGTGTTTAAGGGAAGCATTCACTTTTTAACAAGTGTGTTTCCCAGACAAAAATAGATGTGGAAAGGTCTGCATTAATTATTTAGCTAAGAAATGTATGAATCTCACTTATCAATTAGAAAATCAAAGCTGCTTATGACTTAGGCTTTTTTTTTTTTTTTTTTTTTTTTTTTTTTTTTTACTTTATTTCTGCTCTATCTTTTTTTCCAACTGTGTTGGAGCAGAATTTATGTAATCTATGCGGAAAACTTTTTCCTTTTAACTAATAAGAAACAAGAAGATTCTCAATTTCACATTAACGTCCCTCTTTTTTCTTAAAAATTTTTTTTTAACATTTATTTATTGTTGAGAGACAGAGACAGACAGAGCATGAGTAGGGGAGGGGCAGAGAGAGAAGGAGACACAGAATCTGAAGCAGGCTCCAGGCTCTGAGCTGTCAGCATGGAGCCTGACGGGGGGCTCAAATCCATGAATCACGAGATCATGACCTGAGCCAAACTCGGACGCTTAACCGACTGAGCCACCCAGGCACCCCACTTCTTTTTTCTTTTAATTACCGGGATACATATAATCCCTAAAGTTGTATATAGTCTTCTTATATGTGAAATAGAAAATAACCATTGGTGACACCTGCATTAATGCCTCTTAATCCATTCTGTTGGGAAGAGTCTTTTATACTCAAGATCTGTCTTCAAATACCAACATTGCCATTTTACCCCATTTCCTGATTCAACGTTCTTGAATAAATGGCCAGGACGAAAAATTCTTTGCAATGGCAGCTTTCCCTTTAGATAGAAGGCAGGCTTGCCATTCAGAATCCTTCCACATCCGGGCATCTCCTACTTGATCACTCACTGAACCATCCACTCCCTCTGATGGCTGCTGTGTTGTCTTATGAGGAATACGTAGTAGTTGGCAGTCCTTATGGAGGAGATGAGTAGAAAAGCTATACGTCCAAATCGATCCTCTCATGTGAACTTGCTTTATCTGTATCCCTGAACACCAGGGAATTCTTGTGGAAGTAGTGACCTAGCTTTCCACAGCATGGGTCATTAGTCACCGTTAGTCCCCCGGTCCAGAGGCTTACACTCTTAATTTATGCCAAGGACAGTCATAAATCAATAGCTTCCCAAGAAGGGAAGATCAGGCGGAAAGTAGCTAAATATTTATAAGGCAAGAATGGAAAGGAAAGGAAAAGGTAAAATTCACCTGCATGAAGGCTGTTTTCTGAGTGGGACGAAGCAAGCAGATTCGCAGGTAACGTCCTTTGTAGTCAATGGTTATCATATCAAAACCCACGGCTTCAGGGACTGCCAGAACCACAGAGACCACCCAAATTAAAACAATTTCGACTGCTGTCCATTTTGGAACACCGATTCCTTTAATTCGACTCCAAGAAGCAACGGCTCGATATCTGAAGTACAAAATAGAATTATTTGTCAAGCTGCAGAGTCTGCTTTTATTGAATTACATAGTTTAGTTTCTAAGTAACATAGCAATCACTAGTATAGTGTTCAGGATATACCTGGCTTAAATATACGCTCTTACCTGTCAATACTTAGAGCACATAGACTCAACACAGTGATTCCCACGGAGGCCTTCTGGATAAAAGGCACCAGCTTACACATTTCAACTCCAAAGGGCCAGTCCTCGGCAAGCAGCTGCATTGAGAAGACATGAAGCTCTGTGAGCAAGATTTTCACACGGTGCCCTCTGAACTGCATTACTTAGTGGACGGTAATTAACATGCAGAGTTAGATAACCAATTCCAGTTCTTCTTCTTTTCCTCATGGATTACTCCTTTGAAAAGCATCAGTGTTCGATATATGGATCAGGAGAGCGGTTGGGAATAATGAAAATGCAGCCAGTTCAGGAGAATTTGTTATGCATACACAGTAGCTTAGGATCCGAAACTCCACCATGGGGCTAACTGGGGCCGATCTTGTAAGTTCCCCTTGGAAAACTGAATGTGGTGCACTGAAAACATCTCTTCTACTGTCGTGGAGTCTCACATGCTCAGGTCATGGCCAAACCAAAATATAGATGATAAATGTTAAAAACAGATGACAAATGTGTATTTGCATATTTCCACTTTACTGTAGTCAACTTGAGTGCCCAGAAACTCAGCGGGAATACGCAAACTGCTCCTTGAACGCCCTAGACACACTGCTGTGTTAGGGCTTTACTCTAGGTGTTTCCTTATTCTGGAAGGCTCTTTCCCCATAGATCCACTGGGCTAACTCCCTTACCTCCTTCAGATTTTGCTCAAACCTCATCTTTTCAACATAACCTACTTTAACCCCATTATTAGTACAGTAACTAGCCAGGTTCCTGTCTCTCTTACCCTCCTCGACTTTCCTTTTTATCCATAGCACCTGTCACCAACCATTGCATGTATTATAACATTTACTTGTTTGTTTTGTTTAGTTTTTGCTCTCTTGAATCCCTAGAGTATAAGGCAGAATATGGCCTCTGCAACTGCCTAATTCAGTTCCTGCCATGTTGAGGATGCCATATTCAAACCCCTAAAACATATAGGCACTGGCTCTACCATGAGTAAAAAGACATAAGTTCTTGCTATTATACATATATGTCTCTCCTTCCGGCTTTCACAATAGATGTACAACCATCTATTGTGAAAACCAGTTAATTTCTTTCTTAGGACAATTGGGTGTGCCCACACTGGTTAATGAATCACTTTAGGTGAACATCTGGATTGAATGTTCCTGAGGTTTTGAAAATAAAGAAAAGTATTTCAAATCAATGGTTTTTTTTTAAATGTTTTAAAAAATAATCTTCCAAAAGTGAAAACTATTTTGTTGTTTTTTTTTTTAATTTTTTTTTCAACATTTATTTATTTTTGGGACAGAGAGAGACAGAGCATGAACAGGGGAGGGGCAGAGAGAGAGGGAGACACAGAATCGGAAACAGGCTCCAGGCTCTGAGCCATCAGCCCAGAGCCTGACGCGGGGCTCGAACTCACGGACCGCGAGATCGTGACCTGGCTGAAGTCGGACGCTTAACTGACTGCGCCACCCAGGCGCCCCGAAAAGTGAAAACTATTTTGAAACACAATTGAGTCTTTCTGTCCTTTCACTTTAGTGAAGTTTCTTTGTGGAGTCTGTCAAGATGTGTGATTGTTCCAAAATGGCACCAAAGGCTGAAATGTGTGTCTAGTATGAATATGACTTCGAGCTCCAACATGAGACCAATTTCGTTTCCAAGTTAGACACAAAAAGTTACTCTGACATGTAGGACAGATGTTGCAAGCTTACCACAGACATGCTTCATCTAGGGTCCTGAAGATCTACAGGGCCAGGCAGGTAACACAGAGGGGTAGAGAAGCCAGGTATAAAGAAGTCATCAGTGTCAGGAAGATAATAAAGAGTGGTAGGGTGTGGGGTAAATCCCATCTAAAAGGGGAAGCTGCTTAAAGACCATGATATGATTTTTGCCAAGGAATCCCACATTAAAAACCAACAACAAAACACAACTCTTGATTTTAACTAAAAACATCGAATTTTTATATAAAACCTCAAAATTATAAAAGTTTTTAACTCATTTTAAAATTTGTTTTTTAACGTTTATTTATTTTTGAGACAGAGAGAGACAGAGCATGAACGGGGGAGGGTGAGAGAGAGAGGGAGACACAGAATCTGAAACAGGCTCCAGGCTCTGAGCTGTCAGCACAGAGCCTGATGCGGGGCTTGAACTCACGAACCGTGAGATCATGACCTGAGCCGAAGTCGGCCGCTTAACCAACGGAGCCACCCAGGCACCCCTAACTCATATTTTTAAAAAACACTGTCAAATAACATTGTATCAAAAAAATATATCTGTACATCAGACTACTTGTGACTTCTGGATTAGTCAATTGGGTCAGAATTCTGCTTGTTCATTCATTCATTCATTCATTCAATAAGCATTTATTGAGCATTCACTATATGCCAGGCTCCATTCTGAGTACAGGGTGCATATCAGTGAATAAGGCAAACTCCCTGCTCTCCTAGAGATTACAGGCTAGTGAAGGAGGCATATAAAAAAACGCACACAAATATTTAATATGGTGTCATATGGTTATTGCCATTATATGAAGAGGGTATAGTGGGATTTGGAGTAATTTCTTGATAAGCTTCTCAAACAACATCTTTCTGAAGAGGCAACATATGAGTAAGGGATCTGACTACAGTAAGAAAGTAAACCTAGTGTGCTGACCTTACACAAAGAAGTCTATCAAGACCCAGGCCAAATGTCTAGGAGATGATGTTGTAGAAGGAGTCGTCTGAATAATTTCTGAGGAAGTACATTGTCCGTTTTTAAACAGGGAAATGGCATGGTCTTATTTATGGTTGAAGAAGATCACTGTCAGGGGAGCCTGGGTGGCTCAGTTAAGCGTCTGATTCTTGATTTGGGCTCAGGTCGTGATCTCACAGTTCGTGAGTTTGAGCCCCGCATCAAGCTCTGTGCTGACAGTGTGAGCTTGCTTGGGATTCTGTTTCCCTCTTTCTCTCGGCCCCTCCCTGCTTGTGCTCTCCCTCTCAAAAATAAGTAAACATTAAAAAAATAAAAATAAGTAAAAAGATCCGTGTGGATGCTCAATGTAGAATAGAATGTGGGGTCGAGAAAGGAAGCTTTGATGAGAGATTGTGGTCAGCTGGACCCGGTGGTAACCTGGGGCTGAACGAATGGGTTGCAGACCAAATATATTTTTATATTTGAAGGTGGAGCCGGGAGGATTTGTTATGGTTTGGATATAAGACACGAGGAGTCAGGGAACTAAGAGGTTTGTCACATGAATGATGGAGCCATTCAGACTCATTCATCAGACTCAGGATGCCTTAGGTCTGAACCGGCTATGAACTTAAGATACTTTAAAGGAACCGCCAATTGCCCTTGGAAACATAAGAATAAAAAAGTTCCAACCAGTTCCAAGGACTCTACCAGACCAGCTTCTTATGAATTATCCAGACAATATTTCTAATTCTGATTGCTTTTAGAGGTATCAGGAAAAAAAAAAAAAGAAAGAAAACAAAACTAACAGTTATATGGCACTTGCAAATGGGTTAGGCATTATTCTAAGCACTTTGCACATACCATATCGTTGACATCTCTGAAGAAATCCTAGGACATAGTACTACTGATCCCCATTTTACAGATAAGAAAACTGAGGCACTTAGAAGGTTATTAACATACTGTGTTGCTTTTAAATACGTCCGCAAATTCTTTGCTGCTCTTCCCTTCACAAGGTGAAGAAGCCTCGTTTCCCTTTCCTTGAATGAGGGTTGGCTTTAACAATTTGCTTTCTACGAACAGAATGTGGTGAAAGGGATGATGTGTGATGTCGGAGACTAGTTCACAAAAGGCATATGGCTTTCTCCTTGTGGTCTGGTGGATCACCCATTCTCAGGAGACCAGGTGCCATGTCAGGAGGACACCCAAGTGTCTGTGGGCAGGCCAGCATGGCGAGGAACGCAGGCCTCCTGAAAACGACTAGCAAAAATTTGCCAGGGGCACCTGGGTGGCTCAGTCGGTTAAGCATCCGACTTCGGCTCAGGTCATGACCTCACAGTTTGTGAGTTCGAGCCCTGCATCAGGCTCTGTGCTGACAGCTCAGAGCCTGGAGTCTGCTTCAGATTCTGTGTCTCCCTCTCTCTCGGACCCTCCCCCACTCACACTCTGTCTCTGTCTCTTTCTCGAGAATAAGTAAACGTTAAAAAAAAAAAGAAAGAAAAGAAAAAAAGGTGAGACTAGCACACATTTACCAGCTGTATGAATGAGAGATTCCTCCAGCTTTAGGCAAATCTTCAGAAAACTGAAGCCTTTGGCAAATACCTTGACTGCACCCTCATGAGAGACACTGGACCAGAAGCACCCAGCTAAGCGGTTCCTGAATTCTAGAGCCACAGACAAGGTGTGAGATAATAAAAGTTTATTGTTTCAAGCCACTAAGTTTTGGGGTTATTTACTATTCATCATTTGACAAGTAATATATCTGTCCTTGCTTTACTCACTTGGTTACTTGTCCTAGTAACTTGGTTTATTACTCACTGAAGTAACCGATCCACATTTGAACCCACATGGTCTGATTTTAGAGTCTATATAGCGTTTTGGAGAAACCGACCATAGAAAAAAGATTGTTTAGAATTAAATCAATATTCGCATTTTGACCCATACCTATGTGTCAATGGTAAAAATATCTACATGCAAAATAAAATCTCTCCTAAGCACGTAGCCATTTCATTCACATAATATCCAAAAATTAACATATTTCCAAATATCTTATTTGCCTCAAATTATTTCCAGATATGCAAATATTAGGATCACCTAGGTGCAGGCATCAGATGAATCAAGATGAATGAGCGTCCAGGCCACTGAAGGGAAAGAAGTCTGGCCAATGGAAAGGAGCTCTGTACTGAATCCAGGCCCTGTTTTGAGGTTACTATTGTTTTTGGCTCAGCCCAGAAATTGGAGGATTGTTCTTCATACCACTGGGAGGCCTGCAGCTCAACCTCTGACCCAAGTTATCACAGGGGATAGGGAAACACAAACTGAAAATTGTAACCGTTCTCTTCACGTTCGACACAGAGATAGTCAGAAACCTAATCATAACTGAGGGCTTACAATTTTCTAATCTACCCTTCCAAAGGGAAAGGAACTGCAA